ATAAGGTATTGACGATCATCTTATTTTCCTTTGGAGATGGATCAAATTGCTTACCAGGCTCGATGACGAAGATCATAGCGACGTAGTCTTAGAAGACTGGCCGATTGGGAGGCCATAGGCTCTATGTAAACGCTAGCCTCAATTGGTGTTAGCGGCGGCTGTGCATCTTCACGGGTGCCTACCGAAGCTCTCTCTCTGACCTATTCGTCCTCCATCTCCATCTACCTCAACACTTATAGAATTCACGGAAAACCCCATAACGAACCCAGGCCACGGTGATCATGTTCTCCCACTCGGATCTGCTGGGGCATAAGTGCGAACACTGTGTCAACAAGCGCTGCGGCTTCAAGTACCCGGTAGATCGTTCATCTGTCGGCGAGCGTAGTGAGCTATCTCACGATGGCTGTTTGTGGTACGCATTGGCGAAAGCCTGCTTGGAATGGATTGATGCCAGGTCGCAAGTACAGACATTGAATGTCACACTCTGGAAGACTGGAAAATTTATGATGTTTTACCCGGCAGAGGCGAGGAGCGGAGGGTTTGTTTGGGAAAAGTTTGAATGCCTACTCAAAAGCTCAGGTGTGTTGTCGTTCTTCACCGTTACGTTGGTTTGTGCTTTGGTCCACACATATTCTTCAAGAAGCTAACAGAATTCCAGACAATCCCACCATGATCACACAGCTTAATGGAGAGGGAGAATTTTCTCTCATCACTGGAAAAACTTCATCCAACGCGACTTTCGATACTATCAGGACTTGGATCGGCGACTGTTCCTCGGGCCACTCAAAGTGCCGGAGTGGCACTACACGACGCATGGACAAGCTTGAAGGCATCAGATTTCTGCGCATCGGCAACAATTCTGTTGCTCTGACGGAAGATGTGGAGCCAGACCGATATGCCTGCTTGAGTCACTGCTGGGGTAATGCCAAGAACCTCATCAGGACTACCACTCACAATCGAAGCGAACATATCAAGACGGGTGTGGAGATTGAGAGCCTTCCGAAGACGTATCGAGATGCGCTAGTAGTCTGCAAAGAGCTCGACATTCATTATATATGGATCGACAGCCTTTGCATTGTGCAAGACGATGATTGTGACTGGCGTGGGCAAGCTTCTCGTATGGCAGATATCTATATACTTGCATACGTCACCATTGTAGCAGTCGAAGCGGAAGATGCATCACAAGGACTCTTCAATTCTAGCCCAGAGTCTCGCATTGGCTCCCATTTGCCAGATTATCCCTGGGCACACGTTCGACAGCAGCTTGATCCACCAGGGCGGTATGCTAGCGAGTTAAATTGGCTCAAACAGATGAAAGGTGGAGAAGCGTTGTACAAGCGTGGATGGACATTCCAAGAACTCAATCTATCACGACGGGTGCTTCATTTCGGCGCCCAAGAAGTCACGTGGTCTTGTCGAGAGGTAACAGTCAGCGAGGGCGAGCCAAAGGGAACCCTCGCTTTACCAGAACATATTGCAATCAACATGTCGAGATATAATAGCTCTTTACAAGCACTATGGTACCGGATCGTAGGAGGCTATTCCTGGCGGAATCTCACATTTGAAAAGGACAAGTTTCCCGCGATAGCAGCATTCGCGAGCCAAGTTCAAACCATGAACTCAGGAAAGAGATATGTAGCTGGACTGTGGGAGGACACGTTACTATTCGATCTTCTGTGGTACTGCTCTAGACATGGTCCCGATTTCGAATCGCCTTATCCAATTGAACCAGGAATCATACCAAGCTGGTCATGGGCGTCGGCTAAACGTCCCGTGTATTGGTTAGAACCTGAGCGAGGCTTATGGCAGTACGTTCCGTGTACAGAAGTCATTCAAATCACCTACAACACACGAGGCCCCCCACTTCTTGGCGACATTGTTGAAGCTTCGCTTGTACTTCGGGCACCCATTATCAAGCTGTACAAAGACCACTGTCAAGAGCTTAAGAATTATTGGAAGGGCGTAGAAGGAGTTTCCGCTCGTGTCACAGCATTAGTGGCTAATTTTTGGGATGATCATGACCTAGATAAAGCAGAACAGGCCCGCGACCAAGTTGGCAGCCACCACAATACCCTACTTCCACCGGTTCTCGCTATACCGCTGACTGCACCAAGATTTGGCGAGGGACATACGCAGGGCTACAATGCACTGATAGTGGCGATGGAAAGTCCTGGTGTATACAGAAGAGCTGGAGTAGGTAGGCTTGGGTTGTTGGAGGAATTCCTTGACGTGAGTCGCAAAATCCAGATAGAGACACTGGATGAAGGCAAAAGATCATCGGACCAGCGGGATCATGAATTTGCTCCGCTTGACGAAATGAAGAATCAGAGACGGAAGAAGTGGAAAGGTCGATTCATGGATGAGATGAGTCGATTGGAAAGACAGATTTTCAAGCTAGTTTGATAGAATTGTCAACAGAGCTTACGCGAAAGTAGAGGAGACTGTTGCACTCCGCGTGGATGCGCAGTTTCCTAGATCTGAGACTGGATACTGGGCACCGTGAATGTGAGTACTATCGGCTTGCAGCTAGTGTGTTGTTATAGTGTACTCGAGAAAACATCGTGCCGTCTCTGCGTCGTCGTACATGTTGCTCAACTGATTTCCACAGTCCGTCCGCCCGAAAGTCCTCCTCATAAATCAATACTTTCAGAGACATCAAGCTGATGTAAAACCTCGATGAAGGAGAGCGCGACTCGCACAGGGCCTCCAGAATGCTTGGTTTGAGAGCTTGGATCCAAGCATGGACTTGAGTGATGTAATCGTGCACGGTAACGAAGGGATGCGTAGTAGGCAGCACCTCGAGGGACGGCGGAGGTGGTGGGCAAGCCATGCCACAGCAGCGCAAAAGCGCCCGATCCTCATCGTTCTCGGTTTCGACCCACTCTTGATTGTCCTCGTTATCCCACCGATGCTCTCCTTCCCATCTGTAACCCCATGTGTCTAGATCGTCTATGTGTACGCTGCTGATCGACGAGACCGGTGGTTCCGTTGCGGGCGAGGTGGAGATCTTGTGAAAGGAATGACCATCGGTAGTGTATGGTTCACATTTAGAGTCTGGGTCGTGAGTGTCCGCAACTTCGACTGAAGACTCCAAAGACCCAAAGAGCGACAAGCGCACTCGCAGCATGTCCATAGAGGACAGAACGATGGTGCCAGAAGAGCGGAGGCTATCGAACGTTGGGATATCCTTAGAAGTTGACATGGTGGAGAGGGATGAGAAAGCTTTGTCAGTTTTGAAGTGAGCAGAGGTGCTGGATGAACAGGATGCGCCAGGGGGTGGGTATTTAATCTACTACGTGTAGGGAGGTGCGACGCCGCAATCTAGGAAAGAAGAAATAACATGACCAGCTGAGCAAGGAGACGAGTCGACGCGATGACCAGTGGCAAAGCTGATACGACGCTCTTGCAACGCATCAAAATGAATTTCTGTTTCCCCTTCACCTGGGCAGTTTCAAAATCCCAAAGTTTGCGCCTAAACACGTGACGTCATGGCTTCCCGTGGTCAACAATCGCTCCTTCCAGCCGTAAAGTCGCGTTCACTTTCACTTTCTTGGCGTGATGCAACGTGAACAATATTATTACTCACTTCAGTCTCGCTGCGGCCCCAACCATAACGTCTTTCGCACCTTCCCGCACCTCCTGCACAATCTCGCCCGCGCTTTGCACTTCCTTCACCAACCCCACACCAGTACCCGCCCAGATTGCTGCACGCCCTTGCAAGCCCGTGTTATATCCTTTGTCTTCACCCGCAGCGGCCTCATTGTGCAGCTTCTGTATCTCTTCCAGGCTCATGCCGTTCGCGAAATCCTTGTGGCTCTGTGCTACCAACCCGCGCCCATCATACAGCTCCGGCCAGATGTTGGGACCGCGCAACTGATCGAAAAGCTTGGAACGCGTCGTCACCTGACCACCGTCTTGCGCCTCCAGAACTGCGGCTTGGTACACCGGATGGACGTTCACCTCTTTAGACGCGAGGAAACGCGTTCCCATCACGACGCCTTCGGCACCGAGGGTGAGTGCTGCAGCGACGCCGCGTCCGTCGACGACACCACCTGAGGCAACAAGGGGTATACGTGAAAAGCCTTCCGCAGCAAGCGCGTCAGTCACCTCGGGTAGGAGCGAGACGATGCTTGCGCCCTTCTCAAAGCCGTGACCACCAGCATCCGCGCCTTGGAGACACAGCACGTCTGGACGCGCGATCTTCGCAACATGAAGAGCTGCCGCGACGCTGCCGAGCTGAATCCAAATCTTGCTCTCCGGTGAGGCTTTGCGTATCGCCGGCACCCATTGCGCGTAATCGTCCAGATCTTTCGGCACGAACAGCCAGACGACAGCGGGTTTGTAGTCATCGAATACCGGAAGAATGTCTTCGAGTCGGAGCACAAAGGGAAGGAAGCCGACGCCAACTGGGAGAACATGCGACGCCGATAGCTCGGGACTGTCCTTGAAAGCCTCTGCGGCGATACCCAGCTCTTTTCGCAAGTCGTCCATGCTGCGTAGACTCCCGATCATACCGAGGCCACCAGCGAGTGTTACAGCTGACGCGAGCTTACCGCCTGCGAAGCCCGCCATGGGCGCGTTGACGATGAGCGGTGACAACGTCCATGGCAGCTGTTCCTTGAGGGTAGACATGACGGTCCACGATCAAGTTCGAGAGATCTGAACGAAGGAGGGGTGCTTTGACAGGAAAGACCTTGCTCGAAGCTTTACTAATGAGCAGAGTGCGGAAGTAAGCAGCGCCCTTTACTAGGCCTTTCGCATCATGTTGACGGGCTGTACGACCCTTCTGCCAGCTCCATCCGGTTACAAGCGGTGCATCGTAGCCAAGTCAGCAACTTGCGTCCATACTTGATTCGTTCCTTCGAAGTTCTCAGTGGAGACCCAACAATGCCACGAGAGCTTATTGCCCCGCATTCAGCCCCGCCTTCGTCTCTCGACCTCGCTGCTTCGCAACTTCGCGCGATATATTGCAACTTTTTTTCTAATCTGGCATCAAAGTTGGTTCGATGGTGTAGTTGGTTATCACGTTCGCCTCACAGTCTCGTCTCTGTTGTACGCGCGAAAGGTCGCGAGTTCGAGCCTCGCTTGAATCATTCAGCTGTCTTTTTGCTGTCCCGACAGTCTCGGCGTGAGGTGGATCGACGTGGCGGCATCATTTTTGCCCAAAATTTGATCTCGGAGATAGCCAAGAATCTGACATAGCTGCTACAGGGAGAAATTGCGGATTGGCTAGATAGCGTGTAGGAATACATTTGTTTCTACTCAAGAGGATTATAAGATTACAGATAGGTCTGACGTCTACAAGTGATTCAACCCATCAGCTCCATCGACCAGTAAATCTGCCTTGAAGAACACGCCCCTTCCATAGCGCCAGCTAGCTTGAAGAGCTTCATATGCTAACTTGATCAGAGGCAACACGCACTCGCGCCTGTACTACCTTCGAAGAGTATGTCATGACTGTCTATCCCGACAAATCGTTCGAGACCGAAGACACCAGGAACTCTGCGACTTTTATCCCCCGCATAAAAGAGTTTCTCGGTGCAATAGCTAATCTTAGCACTAGTTATCTAGGCGACAAGATTAAAGCTAATAGTCTGTGGCAGCTTAAGCATAGTCTATATTAGTAGGCTTCTACCTTGTTGCTAGACTTTAACACTATCTAGTAGAAGTAGCACAACAATGTTAGCTGTTACATTTATTTTATTGCTGTAAAGTACAACCTTAGTTTAGCGTTATACGCTAGAAACAACTCTTTAATCTTAAGCTTAGTCTTATCTTCTAGTTTGTTACGGAGTGAGACTACTGTGTTGCAGATCTTAAGCAGTACTAGGCTGCTATACTACTTGCCTGAACTACTGTTTATCGCGCTAGTATCTTTACCGTAGTCTAGGGCTATAGCAAAGGCGCGAGCCTAGAAGATGCATTTGTTTCTACTTATAGAGATTTACTAAATGTCTTCTACGTGTTGCTAGCAAGGTTTGTTAGACTTATAAGACTGTGCGCTAGTCTAATCTGAAGTTTGTGCGGATGGCTCTTGGTATTACTTGTCGGGTTATTTTCCGTTTCTACAAGGGCTATCGCAACCCCTACGAAGACAACGCAACTACTAACAACAGTGAAGAATTGAGTTTCTCTGAGCCTATGTAGACATCTTGATAATCAATATAGTAAAGCAATAAGTTTCTCTAAGCCCATGTAGACATCTTGGTCATTCATAGTAGCAAAGATTGACCTCCGCAAGCTTTATGTCGACATGTCAATACTTTTTCCTAGCAAAGGTTAAATTTTTTGAAGACCATGTAAATATCCTAGACCTTAGTCACTAAGAAATATCTGTTGAAAGGCATATGTATTTTGATACTACATCCAACAAAGCATCCATGAATGGGAATCATCCAAAACCGCTATTGAAAGCTCATACCCAAAACCCACGGCTTCCTCCTCTCCAAATCCAATATCATCTGCCCGAACAGTCCATTCGCCCAGCTAAACCACTGCCGACTCCACACCCCCTTATCCCTCGCATGAACACTTTCATGCATAAGCCCCAGCCCATCCGTACTCTGCACCAACCACATCAAATTCCGAACGATCTCATCGTCGTCCTCGCTTGTCAGGATAGTCATGATGAGCGCCATGGGCCATGGCCGACCAGGCAGTGTATGCGGACTCGCCACACCGGTGATCACGGGCCCGACAGCATAGTACGGATTATCCCTCGACAAGATCTTGCGTCGTGTATTCTGATATATCGGATCGCGCAGCGTCGTGTACCCCAAAAACGGCGCCGACAACAACGAAGGCACATTAGGATCATCCATGATATTCACCGAGCCATAGCCATCGACTTCATACGCGTACACCTTGCCGAAGTTGGGGTCGTTGACGATACCGTACTTCTCCACGCCCCGGTTTATCGCTGTGCTGAGCGTTTGCATGCGTGCGGCTAGTGGGTTCTCGCGCGAAGTGATGCGCGACATGATGGTTGAGGAGGTGTTGAGGGCGGAGGAGAACATCATGTTGGAGGGGATGAGGTATTGGTATGTACATGCGTCGTCGCTGGGACGGTGGAAGGAGCGTACGAGGCCGATATTGCCTTTGTGTGGACTGCCGTTGCAGTTGTTGATTGGGGTGCCGCCGTAAGGGGCGCAGTACGTGTAGGGCGTGTGCTGCCACTCTCCGTCCTCGGTGTAGGAATCTATTGTCATGCTCTCTGTGGTGTTCAAGACGACTTCAACGGCTTTAGTCCAGTTGCTGCTCTTTTCGAAGAAGTCGTAGTCTTTTGTTGCTGTTACGTAGTCGACAGAGAGTTGCAGGAAGGATGCCAAAGAATCGAGTTCCCATTGACAAGAGAAGACTTTGTAATAGTCGAATGACGGGGTGATGCGATCGCTGTTCATACTGCTCTTATGTTCCACACCGCTCTCATCCGGCGCTTGGAAGGCGTTGCAAAACGCGTTTTCGAGAATGTAGCGTGCTTGCAGGTTTATAGCTCCACGGAATAGACCAGCCAAGCTGTCATGACTGTCGTCTTGTTTCAGAACCGAGATGTATGCTTGGAGTTGGTTTGCAGAGTCGCGCAGCCACATTGCTTCAATGTCGCCCGTGATGACAAAGGTAAGTTCTTCAGGCTTCATGCTCATCAGCGGTCCTTCCAACGAGTCCGGGTCGCTAGTCGTATTTGACCATCCTCGCCATGCGATAGTCGTATCCAAAGTACTCGGCCACGTATTCTCGAATATCTGTTCATCAAATCAACACATCATCTCGACAGCACTGCCATGGCGAAGTCGCATACACGAAAAAGGTCAGGATCCTTAACAACACCGCGTAACCGTTCAATCGTCTTCTCCACCTCTTCCGAGCGATACGTCCGACACGGCACAATCGGTCTAGCATAACTCAAATTCCACGTCCCTTGTGTAAAGGGTTCGTGGTATTGCGCAGCGTAATTCTGGTAGAGCGGACATTGGGCCGAAGACAGGGATGGCAGGAGAAGCGAGATGCAAGGGATAAGGATCTTTGCGGGTGACAGCCTCATCGTGGCGTGCGCGACGGGCCGATAGTCGCCTGGCAACGTAAGAGTATGGTACGATTCGATGCGAAAATGAAATAGCGATTAGAGGATATTGCCGATGCGTTAAGACGGAGTTGAGTGTGTGTGATGTTTCCCGTCAGAGGTGTGAGAGTTCAGCCAAGCCGGCACGAGCCACATGTCACTCGGTTGCAACGGATCGCAGCGTGGTACTAATAAGGTGCCACGAGCAGTCGCGATACGAGGAAACAGAGGAAATCATTTGCGGACAATAATCCGCTACCGAGGCGGATGGCAGTGGTTCATTTGTATAGATTGCGTGCCAAGAATGCTCCTCCGTCTATGAACCCCGCTCCGGAAGGACAATTTCAGGCACCATCTGATCAGCCCTTGACGATGGCTCTTACTCGCTTCCTCTCTTCAACGTCCAAAACCCAGGGTATGCCCGAGTCGCCTGATGTATCTTCCGCTACTTCTGCAAACTCATCGTCTTCCATGTTGAGAATTAGGGTCATCTGCGTACTCTTTTGGAAGACATCGCGGAGTGAGTAGGCGCCGCCACTTGTAGCCGCTGTGATGATACCGGAGATGTCGCGCTCGAGCCTGACAGCACCCAGTTCATTCACTCTACCGTAGTAGCTCTTGATGCGCTTCTCGAGTGAAGACGCAAGAGAGTTCAGACCTAGAGCGAGGAGTCGGTCGAAGTTCGCTGAGGTCAAGATGCGCTTGATGGGACGGATCACGACTCCCCAGCCGCGATCGAAACGCGACTTTACCACATCGACGTCCTCCTCCTCTTCGTCTTCGTTCTCGCCATCCTCGGGATCGTATTTGACGTCTCGAAATGCTTCAGCCAGGATGGGTCGAATGCGAGGCTTTAGGACGTTGGAGAACAGTACGGTGATGCCGTCGTTGAGCAAATCTCCGCTCTTGGATGCGAAGGCTTTCTCCATTGCTTTCAACGTGTTCTCCACAAAGACTGCGTCATGTCCGAATGGGAAGAGGTCGTGCAGTGGCGATTTCACGTCGTCTTCGCCACCTTGTGATTGGCGACCCAGCTGCTGCTGGACTATGCGCTTGACGTAGTCGTTCGCAATATCGAGATTGTTGATGAGCACCAGGAACGCAATGACTTTGTCCTCTGGAGGAAGACCACCCTGAATGACGGGTTTAGGGTAGCTTTCGTCGCGCATCTTTCGCTGGATCATGCCGATGAACTCGGCGCCTAGGATGTGGCTGACCGCAGGCACGACGCTAGAGACGACAGCACGTTGCGAAGTTGCTAGTGTTCGCTGAATGACCTGATTGACAATGTACATGACATCGTCTACAGCGGAGGTAATGAAGGGTGGGTTGGACCCAAGAGGCTTGGTAGGGTTCAGTGTGAGATCTGCTGGGGCCTCGTCCAGCTGGAAAGCTTTCTCCACCGATCGTCGGAAGAAGAAGGTTGTCATAGCATTGACAGGCTCAATGAGGTGGCTGTTGACTTTCTTGTGGAGATTACTGGTAGCAAGGAAGTTGGGCATCACCAGACCGTAGTCGATGCGGTCTTCAGGTTCGGAGGGCTGCTAGGGTAAGCTAACGAAGATACACACGTGTGTCCGCACTTACTGCACACTTGTCTGAGAGGAAACGCGCATACAAGGCATAGCGTCCCAGAATCAGCGCGCCCTCCCCAAGCAAACCGTCAATCTCTTTCATGTCCACTCCTTCATCCTCGCTTGCCCGGCCAGCACCGTTGGCTGGAGAGCTAGAGCGCGGTGTTCCAGATGCAGGTTTTTGTGAGGGAAGAAAGCTCTGGACAAGGAATGAAAAGGCATATGATTTGATATCGGTAAGTTTGCGGTCAATGTGGCGCTCCTCATGCCATGTGTCAAGCACGATACCACCTTGAACATCAGCCTCAATCTGCAAACGTTCAATGACCTTCTGCATCATGCCTGGTCCATAGTGGCGCTCTACCAGCGGCTCATGACCGTCGACAATTTGGGCAATGTGCTCGAATAGCTTTGTGATGGTGTTGCCGTAGAAGAAGCCCTCATTCCTCTGGGCAGGCGC